TTTAATTTCTAAAATCAAATTGGACCTCCAAAGATGGAATAGTTTACCACTCTCACTTATAGGTAGAATCAATGCAATTAAAATGAATGTTTTACGAAAATTTCTTTTCTTGTTTAATTGTCTCCCACTTTTTCTCCCAAAGCATTTTTTTAAGACGCTTGAGCAAGTTATTACTGGCTTTCTATGGCGTGGAAATCAACCTAGAATCCGCAAATCCACACTTTACAGATGCAGGTTTGGTGGCGGATTGTCGCTTCCAAATTTCCAGCTGTATTTTTGGGCAGCCCACATCCATAAAATTTCATTTTGGTTTCCATCTGTAGACTTCCCATGGTGCAACTTGGAAGCACAATCGTGCTCGCCTTCCTCACTAGTTGTTTTTCTCACTTCCCCTATTACATCCAATCCATCTGGCTTTGTAAATAACCCAGTTGTTCGATCTGTTTTAAAAATTTGGTACCAGTTTAGGAAGCACTTCAAATTTCACTCTGCATCTACGCTTGCCCCTTTAATGAAGAATAATTTGTTTCAACCAGCACTCACTGATCCGACCTTTTCATTATGGAGTAATAAAGGGCTGACATGTTTTAACAATTTTTACAAGGAAGGTATTTTTCGCAGTTTCACAGACCTTTCATCAGAATTTCAACTCCCCCCCTCTCATTTATTCCGGTACTTTCAGGTTAGGCATTGCGCCAAAGCTTTATTTCCCAGTTTTCCTTCCAGGCCGCTGAACTTGCACTGGGAGATGTTTCTGAGCTGGGATCCTCTTCAGAGTTCAGATATATCTAAAGTCTACCATGAAATTCTGTCTTTTGATTCTTCGTCCATTACCAAGGTCAAAGCGGCTTGGGAGATTGAACTGGGTCTAAATTTGGGTGAGGACTGGTGGAATAATGCTCTTAAGAAAATTCACACAAGTTCAATCTGTGCAAGACTTTCTCTCATACAATTTAAAGTTCTCTTTAGGGTTCATTTCTCTAAAACTCGTCTGTCTAAATTCTTTCCCTCTGTCTCTGACAATTGTGACAAATGTCATGCATCTTCCTGCAATTTAACACATATGTTTTATTCCTGTCCATCACTTTACAGTTTTTGGCTAACCTACTTTGATACAATGTCAAAAATACTCTCAGTAGTTATCAAACCTTCTCCCCATGTTGCTATATTTGGGCTTCCGGATGACTACAAACAGTTCACTTCTAACCTGTTGGATATTCTAGCATTTACTTCCTTACTGGCAAGACGGCGTCTACTTTTTCATTGGAAGTTAACAGTTCCACCTTCTAGTGGCCAGTGGCTTAAGGACACCATGTCTTTTCTAAAATTGGAAAAGATAAGATACTCATTGAAAGGCAACCCTGCTAAATTCTATATCTTATGGGGCCCTATCATGAGCTTCTTTCATTCTCTTCAGTCCCCTTTCCTAGATTAGATTACCCTCCATTTTTATTTTGTTTCTTTACTTATTTTTATTTTATTTATTTTTATTTATTTTATTTTTTTTTATACATTGTATTCTGTTCAGTTTTGTAAGAAAAAAAAAACCCACAGGAGCTAAATTGTATGCCTTTTATTACGTTACTGTCCATATATATGTATGTTCGATATGGCATACCCTGTTGTTTACAGTTTAAATTATGTTTGTAATGTCTCTCTTACTCCTAATAAAAATAATAAAACAAAAAAAAAGGTAATTCATCCATAACACCCACATTTAACAGGTATACGTACATGTCCTTGCAATCTCAAAAACGTCAGCTGTTGGATAGTTTTTTTCATCCCTGTGAACACAGCAGATGGGTATTGTTTCTGAGGTGCAAATACTATGTGGTGCGACATGTCTGCAGTGCACCAATGTCTGATTGCTTCCCATGTCAATCAGGGCTTTTACCCTCCGCCCATCTATTTCCATAATAGTCTCCATGAGTGGCTGTTTTTTTCCATTCAATATTTGTTCTCTCTGGGTGCAAAACACATCTGAGAGAGTTTTGCAGGATTTTGAGCACACATGGGCTTTGTGTGGCCCTCCTGCATCACACAAATAGCAGATGGGCTTTTTCAAAGATTTTATTTGACTGGGGGAAAAACATTTCCCCCAGTCAAATAACATTTTCCTTTTCCAAACTGCTTACTCACATTTCCCAACATGGTGAATGTTGGCACCTGGACTTGGGATAAAGTCCCTTTTTGCAGCTCTAAAAGCCCACAGTTGAGTCTTCCTACGGGCTGCCACAAAGGCATCTGCCAGGGAAACTGCCTCCGCTGCATCTTTTGGGTTCCGTTCCTTAATCCAAACTTGGAGTTCTGGAGACAACATTCAGAAATACTGTTCAAGAATTATGACGTCATTTATCTCTTCAACAGTCTTACCTCGTGGTTGAACCCATTTATTATACAGTTCCTTAAGTCTCACATAAAGCTCCTTGGTGGACTCATTTTGTTCCACGTGAAGAGAGCGGAACCTCTGACAATACGTCTCGCTGTTAATTTCATATTTCTGTAAAATGGCAGCTTTACCATTATCATCCATTGATTCATCCATATCCATATGTACATATGCAACCTGGCTTTACCCATCAATTGTGGAATCGACTGAAATGCCCAGTCACTTTTTGGGCATCGGCAAACACAGGCTATCCTCTCAAAAGTAATAAAGAAATTCTTAATGTCATCATCATCACTTAGCTTTTGCAGCTTTGGTTCTTTATAAAAATGTGTAGAGACCGAATGCCAAAAAACACCACAAGACAATGAAATTATAAATGTATTGTGTGAAGTAAATAAATACTGACACAGAGGAAAAGATGGAGGAACCGCCACAGAAACAAAGAGGAATTTAACTTTACCGATCTCATAATGGAGAAATTTGCTCTCTGCATTTCATCCATCCCCTTGGGGAACAGTGGGATGCACTGGGCTGCCATTGTGTGGTGACAGAGGAGCAGCGGTGGGTTAAGGGACTTTGCTCAGAAACTTTGCATGTTCTCCCTGAGCATATGTGGGCTCTCTCCGGGTACTCTGGCTTCCTCCCACAGTCCAAAAACATGACTGTTCGGTTAATTGACCTCTCTAAATTCTCCTTAGGTGTGAGTGTGTGCGTGAATGCTTGTTTTTCCTGTTTGTTTCTGTGTTGCCTTGCGATGGACAGGCGACCTGTCCAGGGCGTACCCCACCTCTCGCCTGTAGACAGCTAGAGATACGCACCAGCACCCATCACGATCCCATTTGGGATAAGCGTGACAGAAAATAGATGGACATTTACTGTCCAGCTACAGCTAAAGGCTTCACATTCTTGCCGCAACACAGCGATCAACTCAAATCATACTGACTACGACGGTGGCAACAGTCAAAAACTGTATGGTTTCAGCAGCAATAAGCACACCTACTGATAATTTACCCTTTTCGTGTCTCCTTTTTAACGTGTGACACTATCCACTGTCCTTTTCAGGTACTACACCAAACACAAAATAACACAAGAAACCCAAAAAATATGGCTCTAATACATACTCATATACATTTTAACTTGTAAAGCAGACAATCTGATTCTAAACTTATCCAAAACTACATCATAAACATAGGCACACAGAAAGTGAGGTACAGTATCAGGTGTTCTTCATTGCAGCTTAGATTGCCATTATATTACTTCTTTCTTTTTACTAGCCAAACAACAACTTGCCAGAAGTTAGTAGCAGTAGCATTGTTTCATGCTTCTGAGTACAAACTCACAGATATACATTATGCCTACCTTTAAATAAAAGGCCACCTTTTCAGGATAACAGTCTAACTATAACCTTTATCAAAAAGGAAGGTTTTAAGCCTACCCTTACAGTAACAGTAGACAGGGTGTCTGCCTCTCGCACTAAAACTGGTAGTTGGTTCCACAGGAGAGGAGCCTGATAACTAAAAGATCTGCCTCCCATTCTACTTTTAGAAATTCTAGGAACCACTAGTAAACCTGCAGATTTGGTGCGAAGTGCTCTGTTTGGGACATAAGGAACAATCAAAAATATCTCTNAGGAGAGGAGCCTGATAACTAAAAGATCTGCCTCCCATTCTACTTTTAGAAATTCTAGGAACCACTAGTAAACCTGCAGATTTGGTGCGAAGTGCTCTGTTTGGGACATAAGGAACAATCAAAAATATCTCTGATACAAGATGGAGCTTGGCCATTTAAGGCTTTATATGTGAGAAGGAGGATTATAAATTCAATTCTGAATTTAACAGGAAGCCAATGAAGAGAAGCTAGAATAGGAGAGATATGATCCCTCTTCTTAATTTTTAAGTTAAGCGTTTTCCAGTCAAGACTCTTAAGAAAATTAAGAGAAATTCAAGTTTTTATGTCTTCAGACCCACCTGTAGTCTGTATAACGGGTTAGTTTCATCAAGATGAGCCAAGAGAAGCATTTCCGTGTTTTTTTTAATACTGCAGTGATATCTGTGAACTTTATTTCACACCAGGTGTTTCTCTGATAGGGTGTGTCAGTATTACATATGTAATCCCTATATCTCATGTTGGTCTGTTTGGCCCTACTGCCACGACTACAGGCATATGTTCCCTTTAAAAAACTTGGCCCTTGAGAAAAGCAGCTATTGCTATAATTATTATCTATTAAAGTTAAAAGATTTCATCCCGTAGAAAAGAGAATTTTTATACAATGTCCGTTTAACTTTTATATGTGACAATAATTGAGAAGAACCCTGCAGGTCTGTGCCTGTCGTGATACACCCTCTTACTGTGCCGGCCTTGTTGCAGAAGACTACCAGAAAAACAGGTCACTGTATCACTATGTGAGCAGCAGCAACATAATACTGGTGTTTGATGTAAATAAAAAGATTATGAAGCTTTAAAATAACTCTTTGAATGAGTCAGAATTGCTTATACATAAATAAATATAAAAAATATTTCATAATAACTTCATTTTTAAATCATCTCTACATTAACAATTTCTTTTCCATTCAGGTTTGAAAGTTAAGGAGGAAGGAAGTCCTTCTCAAAAATGGATCAGGATTCACAAAGAGGTAAATTGTAATGTAGAAACAAAACCTTATGTATAGAATGTTTATTTTCTTTTATGACTTTAGAATGTTTAATTAGGATGGGGTAACTGCAATGTAAAGCTGAGGTACAACTAGCTTATGTAATTGTGTGACATCTAGTTTAGTCCAGTCTGGTGGGGACATACAAAGATAGAATAAAAGCACAATATTATCTGTAAATATAATATCGAATTAATCAACCATAATATTTTCACCACATGAATAACAGGGAGGTATTCCTAATAGCTGGTGAAGATTCTTAGTCATTCAGGTCATAGTCATTCCAAAAAAAGGAAAAAAAAAAAAAAAACAATCCACTGGACTTTGTTTCTCAAGTTTGAGGACGTTTTGCTTCCCATCCAGGTAGTCCTAATGGAGCCTTATCCTGAGCCTTATTCTTTCAGCTTGGACAAAAAACTAAATTCTGCCATGGGTTGTAAGGCTGTAAAGATAGACCTAATTATAATGTCAGTGCATGCACATTCATAAACCTAATGCTCTGTTGTTTGTGTTACAGCATTGTCCAACACTCTCTCCAAGCTTGGACTAGAAAAGTTGTATCCCAACAAACTCACTCTTCGTTCTCTGCTGGCTATCGACAAAGACAGCATCTGTGATAATCCTGCTTCATCACCGAAAGAGATACCACGGTATTTTCTTAAAAAATTGCTACAGATCAATGCTGACTGCAGAGCCTGCACTGAATTACCAAATGGTGAAGAAGAACATTGTGCTCCCTTCGGCTTAGAACCTTCTACTGCAGAAGACAATGACAATAATGTTCATTATCTTGATCTTATCGTGGCACTCTTCCTCTGTGCTGACAGTTTCTTAAAACAAAAAATGGCACTTAGGATGTCTATGTGCCAGTTTTCTGTCCCACTGTTGTTGCCACATTACAACAGCAGTCAAAGTGGTCTGATGCTTTGGGCTTTGAGAGATATTGTCAAAGAATGGCGTACACCTGAGATGTCTGCATCTAAAAGTTTTGCAGAAGAGAGTGTTGTCGAAATAAATGCACCATTCTTCTCCTTTGTTAGACTAAAAAACAGCAGTTTATCAAAATCTCAGTTGCTCAATCATATACTGAGTCATGGCCAACAGCATAAAAATATATTTATGCACAGGGACATGGAGGGTGGGGCACATCAGAGAGAGATTGCGAATGGACTGGTGGAGATTAGCTGGTTCCTTCCCAGTGGAAGAGAAAATCCAGACTTTTTCCAAAAACCGGTGATCGTTGCTAATTTACGAGGAGACATTTCTAAATCACCTAGAGAGTTTTCTTTTCTTTGTCAAGAGTCAACAGCTATCTTTGTCCTCATGGACAAAATCCAGGAAGATGAACAAAGGACTTTAACCTCTTTTCATGATGTAAAATCAAAACTCTTCTTTGTGTTCAATCAAAACAAAAGTGCAAAAGAAGATCAAATATCTGTTCAGACAACGATGGAAAAATTAGAGCTACCAAGAAACCATGTGATCATGAAAGACCAAAAAACAAACGTTGCAGGTTTTTCAAGGAGGTTTTGTGCAACCATCAACAAATCACCAGCTTATTTAACTAGCTGTGTGAGCATTGTAAACATGAGTGATAAAGCTATGGAACTTGGTCTGTCTGTGGATGAACATAGGAGTGACACACAAAAAAAGGCAGCTGAGAGAGTTATGGAAGAAATTGGGGTAAAGACCATATCTGATTACAAAAAACAGGAATCTTGCTTGCAGGGAGAAAATTGGAAAAAACTTTCAGATTTAGAAAAGAAGGCATGTAGGTTGCCTAAAGTAGGTGAATCTGAAGTGGAAAATCACTTGTCTGAGTTACAGCAGGAACAAGAAAGAATCAGAACAAAACAAAGCAAATATAAACTATCAAAGGCAATGAAAACATTTATCGAAACTTTATCTGTGTCAAACAAAGAGGAAAGAGATTTTTTCTTGAAATGGATAATACTTAAACTTGATTCACTCACACGAACCAAACTCTCTGAACTAAGAAAAAAATTACAAGAGAAAACACAATTAGAAGCTGTTGCTCAATTAGACCAAGCCCTGCTTATCAGCTCTTTAGGAATCGAGCATTTAATGAGAGAGATGGGACTGATCTATGAGTTTTCTCATAAAACCACAGAAGAAATCATTTGTCTCCCTCGTATAGCTGCTGAAATGGTGTTGGATGGACATCCTTTAGAGCTACTAGATGGCGATGCGTCCAACATCCCAGAAAAGTGGGTTTCAGCTGTACTGAATGAGGTTCACATGCTAGTGGGAGGAAGGAGCAGATTATTGGTGCTGACAGTTTTGGGTGTTCAGAGTTCTGGCAAGTCAACATTACTAAATACCATGTTTGGTGTTCAGTTTCCAGTCAGCAGTGGCAGATGTACAAGAGGAGCCTACATGATCTTATTACCAGTGGGGGAGGATTTAAAAAGTGTGCTAAATTATGATTTTGTAGTCCTCATTGACACAGAAGGTCTAAAGTCTCCTCAGATGGCTCAACTTGAGGACAGCTTTGAACATGACAACCAGCTGGCAACCTTTGTTGTTGGTTTAAGTGACATCACCATCATTAACATTGCAATGGAGAACTCAACAGAAATGAAAGATATCCTGCAAATTGCAGTTCATGCATTCATTAGAATGAGAGAAATCGGAAAAAGGCCAGTTTGTCATTTTGTGCATCAGAATGTTGCTGGAATTTCAGCTCATTCTATGACCATGACTGATAGAAAATGTCTGTTGGACCACCTCAATGAAATGACTGAAATTGCTGCTGAAATGGAAATGCAGTCTTCAGTCAAATTATTCACTGATGTTCTGGACTATGACATGGAAAAAAACAACTGGTACATTCCAGGACTCTGGCTTGGGACTCCTCCAATGGCTTCAGTCAGCACTGGTTACAGTCAGGCTGTTGCTGAACTGAAGAAAAATCTTCTCATGACAAAGAGAAAAAACATAAACACAGATGAGTCACGCATCCCAGAGTTCCTGGAATGGATGAAAAGTCTTTGGAAAGCAGTAAAATATGAAAACTTCATTTTTAGCTTCAGAAACACACTTGTTGCAAAAGCCTATGACAACCTATGGAGAGAGTTCAATCAGTGGGAATGGGAGTTCAGAAAACAGATTCTAACCCGGGGGACAGAAGCAGAAATGGAAATCAGCAATGCTAACACTGAAAGTGACCAGGATCTGTTTAATCTGATAGACTCCAAAAAAGATGAGCTTTCAGAAATTATAGATGGGCAAAAAGGTATTATGAGAAAGAAGGTGTTAGACTACTACGAAAGAAAAGATGTCCACACAAATCTTATCGAGAAATACAAAACAGACTTTCTCAAAAACATTGAAGGTGTTGCAAAAGAAATACAAAGGTCAATGAAGAGCAAATTAGATTGTGTTTATGAGGTGCAAAAAAGCTCAAAACTGGTTCAGGACATTCAGAGAGAATGCAAAAGATCAATTGAAAAAGAGGTGGCAAATCTTCTTAAAGAGTTTAAGGGAAATCAATTGTCTGATGAAAAGTTGACAGATGAGTTTGAAAAAATCTGGTCAAAAGTGAGGGAAAATATGTCTGAACTAGAACCGCAGGACATTTCTGGACAAATAAAGCGTCTATTGAGAGAAAGTTTTGGAAATCGCAGTATCAGTGAGGATGTTCAGAAAATTAATAATCTAAAAGAAACAGAAGAATGTTATTTTAAGGTAAAATCAGATCACCTGAATATCCTGAAAAAACTATTAAGCTTTATGGATTTTCAGAGGAAAAGAAGAAAAAAAGACTTGCAAGCAGCAGCTGATGCTCTAATTGATTCCTGCAAACAAAAAATCATTGGAATCACAAAGACAAAAACTGATTATAACGAGTTTTATGTAAAGGAGCTTTTAGACATGATTAATTCCACACTTAAACAAAATTGCAAAGATTACACCATCACATTTGAAGTTGATCTGAAAGTTCATATCTGTGGTTTTGCTTTGAAAAAATTTATTGAGATGCACAAAACCTTCCTGGCTCTCAACAGCCCCCTCAATCAGCTGGAAAAGTACAAGAAGCAGTACTTGTCAGACTTTATTGATCACTACAAACAGTCAAAGGACAAGACTAAACAAAGCCAACAGAAAGCCAGTGACTTTGTCATGTTTTGTCTCAAACCAGCTGTGGAGGACTTCATCAACAGATCTCTGGGAACAGATATAGTGGACGAAATTTTGAAAAATTGTGCTTCAGAGGAATACAGTTCAAATTCCTTTTTCCAGTACAACATTCAAAAAGAGCTACTTCAGAAAGATGACTTTGAAGGTTTTGAAAAGTATATTTCTAATTTTGAACTTTATATTAAAGACTGGATTTATCAACACATCCTGGAAAAGATGTCTGAGGATGAGACTTTGATCAAACTAAAGAACAAGAATCTGGAGATCATTGTCAACAAAATCACAGAAGCAATAAAACTTGCTTCAAAAGCAAAGGAAGGTGCCCTGCTCTCGAAAACCACAGAAAACATTGCAGAGTTTTTCAGCAGAATGCAAAAATATTTAGTAAAAGATATATCATTTTCAGTAGAGGCTGAAAAAACCACTCTATTTCCAGTCAATATCAAAACTCTAGAGTTTGCTGACAGTCTATTGACCTTTGTTAAAGAGCTCAGAAAACANCTCTGATGACGTTGCTGACACAATCAGCAAACTCTCAGTTAAACCACAAGATGAGCTTTTCAGGAAAGTGTTTGGATGTGGAAGACAATGTCCTTTTTGTAAAGTTCCCTGTGATGCAGGAGGCAAAGGACACCTGCAGCATCAAGCAGTTGTTCATCGACCAAAAGGTCTTGGTGGATATAAGTATGATACTAATGGTAAACTGTTGCCAACACTCTGTACAACTAGTGTCAACAGTGAAGAGTCTTTTAGAAATGCAGACACTGACTGGGAATGGCATCCTTATAAGGAGTACATGAAGATTTATCCAACCTGGAAAATTCTTCCAGACTCCACCATGAAGGCATCAGACTACTGGAAGTACATCCTGGTAAAATATAATGATAAATTTGCTCAATTGTACAAGGGCAAGCCAGCAGATCTTCCGGAGGCCTGGAAGGACATTACGAAAGAACAAGCTCTAAAAGGCCTAAAAGATGCTTTTAATGTGAGAGAAATTATTAGAGCTCCCAGATTCAAATCAGAACAATCTTAAAATATTTAGACCGAATCTAAATCCAAATATAAATTATCTAAACTTGTTAGGCCATTAATAGTCATAACATTTAAGATGCATCAACACTAAATTTTAATCAGCTATTTACTTTATTTTGAGACCATTGTTCATGTCTTTACAGTTAGGGAACAAAATATTAACAAGTGAATGACGAGAGTCCTTTTTTTCCATTTTGCATATGACTTCATTTATACAAACTAAATATAGTAATGTTAGCTTTGTGATGAATATTTTCTGTGTTTTTGAAGTGTTGAAATAATGAATTGTTACTCTTGAAGAGAATGCCAAGAGCGTGCGAAGCAGTAATCAAAGCAAAAGGTGGCTATTCTAGGTAGAACCTAGAATAAAAGACATATTTTCGGTTTTTTTAGTATATAGAGTATATAATTCCACATGCTTTAATCCATTGCTTTGATGCCTTCAGTGTGAATCTATAATTTTCATTTTCATGAAATAAACTGTTTGTTTAAATATACTTACAAAATTTTGTTTTTGTTTTCTTTTCAATTTGTATAATCATTTAAAACAACTGCTTTCTAATAAAGAAATAAACCCTTTAAACTTGTTTTGCAAATGGTTTTGTGCCAACGCATCAGGAAAATTTTGGATTTAAAAACTGGCAAAGCAAAGAGTTCAGGTACTACTAAATGTCTGAAACTGTGTCGTCATCAGAGGCAAACTAGAAAAATAATTAAGGCTGTTTTTTTTTTTTTAAACCACTGAGACACAAGTGAGACCACAACCCAGTTAACCCCTTACACCCTAAGGGGGTATAAATAAATTTCTGCCTTAAAAAAGCACACAAAAGTAAATCACTTATAGCTTCACAGCTATTAGATTTAAGAAGAAACTTTTGGTACCTCTGTAAAGGTAAGATGT